ACTGTTGGACTCAGAGTAGTTGGGCTCGTAGTGGGGCTCACAGTTGGCAATCCAGTGGGGCTCGAGGTCGGGGTACCTGTGGGGCTTGCGGTGGGAGATCCGGTTGGGGTGCCTGTTGGTGTTCCGGTAGGAGTTCCTGTTGGTGGTCCTGTTGGGGTTCCAGTGGGGCTGCCAGTGGGAGTTCCGGTTGGGCTACCTGTTGGGCTGCTAGTGGGAGTTCCAGTGGTTGGGCTAACTGTTGTTGGTGAAGCACTGGGGTGGCCACTAATGACGGTGGGGGAAAGTGTTGTTGGGCTTCCTGTTGGAGTTCCAGTTGGAGTGCCGGTGGGGATTGCTGTTGGAGTGACTGTGGGGAATGATGTTGGAATCTCTGTTGGTGCACTAGGAAGCTCAGTGGGTACAACTGTTGGAACGGATGTTGGAGTGCCTGTTGTTGGTATTGTGCTGGGGGGTGCACTTGGGACTAGTGTGTCAATGCTGCAAACTTTTGCACGGGCAGCAATGTAGAAGTCATATGATGGCACAGTGACATTGAACGTGTTCTCTGTCACGGATGCAAGCTGTGCTGTTTGGGGAAAACTGCCTGCAATGTCAGTTGGCGTGATTTGAACTGGAAGCCTTGATGAACCCATATAAAAGTTTGTTTCCTTCAGAACATAAGATGCAGCGCTCTCAAATGTCACCATTGCTGTCTGGTCATTGAACGCAACGCTAAGATTTCCCAATTGATTTTGAGGTTCACCATTGTCAGTTACAACTGAGAAGAGATTCATCACAATTGGAGCTGGGATGAATGCTCTAACAAGTGGATTTGAAAAATCACTAGGCTGTTCATAGCCTGCTTCTGGGCAGACACAGGTGCATTGGTCCAACGGAGTCTCTACTTCACCTGATCGTTCACAAAGTGGACTGCCTGAGGAGCACAATGGGCACCCACAGGACCCACAAGCATACAAGTCAAAGTTGCCATTTGTCCATCCAAACAAGTCATATCCAACTGTTTCCAGAAGAATTGCAGAATCAGCGTGGTAAGCCCAGGTATATTCGCACTCAGGAGAAATTGTTGGACTGACAGATGATGGCTCGGTGGTGGGAATGCCTGTTGGAGGGAGGGTTGGAGATACAGTTGGACCCAAGGTTGGTGTGCCTGTTGGACCACTCGTTGGAGAGCCAGAAGTAGGCACACTGGTTGGTGTTTGAGTTGGTCTAAATGATGGTTGAGCTGTTGGGATGCCAGTTGGGGTTTCAGTAGGAACTTCTGTGGGTAGAACAGTCGGTCCAGTAGTTGGAACAACTGTTGGTGTTCCTGTTGGCGACAGAGTTGGAGTCTCTGTGGGAACTTCAGTAGGAAGTAAGGTTGGACTAGAAGTTGGCGAACCTGAAGGTGTTGCAGTTGTTGGGCTTGCAGTTGTTGGTGAAATGCTTGGTTGTCCACTTTCAATCGTTGGCTGTATAGTTGTGGGGCTGGATGTTGGGTAGCCGGTAGGTGATGCTGTTGGACCCCCAGTAGGTGTTTCAGTTGGGTTGCCTGTCGGCAAGCCAGTAGGCCCAAATGTTGGAATAAATGTGGGGCTTGCAGTGGGTGTTCCAGTGGGTGTGCCTGCCGGGGCTCCTGTTGGGGATTCAGTTGGGCTTGACGTTGGTGTTCCCGTCGTTGGGCTAGCCGTTGTGGGTGCAGCACTTGGGTGCCCACTGGAAGCTGTGGGCTCCAACGTTGTGGGTGCAGCACTTGGGTGCCCACTGGAAGCTGTGGGCTCCAACGTTGTGGGTGCAGCACTTGGGTGCCCACTGGAAGCTGTGGGCTCCAACGTTGTGGGAACATCTGTTGGCAGACTTGTTGGGCTTGTTGTAGGGGTGCCTGTCGGTGTTGTAGTAGGCGTGCCTGTTGGCGTTGCCGTGGGGTTACCAGTTGGGCCACCCGAGGGGGCGCCAGTAGGACTGTCAGTAGGAGTTACAGTTGGTGTGACTGTGGGGGGTCGACTTGGACTGACTGTCGGTGAGCCTGTGGGCCCATCAGTTGGTGTGCCAGTGGGTGCACTTGTTGGGCTGCCAGTTGGACTGCTTGTAGGGCCACTAGTCGGTAATCCTGTTGGGCTGCCAGTTGGGCTGCCAGTTGGGCTGCCAGTGGACAATCTTGTTGGACTGGCGGTGGGGCCTCCCGTAGGTGATTCAGTTGGACTGACAGTGGGACCTCCGGTAGGTGATTCAGTTGGACTGACAGTGGGGCCTCCTGTAGGTGATTCAGTTGGACTGACAGTGGGGCCTCCTGTAGGTGATTCAGTTGGACTGCCTGTGGGGCCTCCGGTAGGTGATTCGTTGGACTGACCGTGGGGCCTCCGGTAGGTGATTCCGTTGGACTGCCGTGGGGCCTCCTGTAGGTGATTCCGTTGGACTTCCAGTGGGGCCTCCTGTGGGAGATGCCGTTGGACTTCCGGTGGGGCCGCCTGTGGGAGATCCGTTGGACTTCCGGTGGGGCCTCCTGTGGGAGATGCTGTTGGATTGAAAGTTGGACACTTGTTGGTGATCCAGTTGGTGTGCCAGTTGGTGTGCCAGTTGGTGTGCCTGTTGGTGTGCCAGTTGGTGTGCCAGTTGGTGTGCCATGTTGGGTGCCAGTTGGTGTGCCAGTTGGTGTGCAGTTTTGGCAATCCGGTTGGATTGGATGTAGGGCCTCCGGTGGTGGGTGCAATAGTTGGGCTAGAAGTTGGAGAGAAAGTGGGTGTTCCAGTGGGTGTTCCAGTGGGTGTTCCAGTGGGTGTTCCAGTGGGTGTTCCAGTGGGTGTTCCAGTGGGTGTTCCAGTGGGTGTATCAGTTGGAGTCTTGGTTGGCACTCCAGTTGGGGTGCCAGTTGGACTGGATGTTGGGTTACCAGTTGTTGGTGTTGCACTTGGGTGACCGCTAGAAACAGTTGGGCTTAATGTAGTGGGGGTCAACGAGGGGCTCACAGTTGGATATGCTACAGGGGGACCTGTCGGTAGGGTGGTTGGAGCAGCTGTTGGAATCCCAGTTGTTGGTGATGAACTGGGGTGCCCACTAGCAACAGTTGGGCTGACTGTTGTTGGTGCAGAGGTAGGAGTACCAGTTGGGGGACCAGTGGGAGCAACAGTGGTCAAAGATGGGCTGAGAGTAGATGGAGCTTCTGAAGTTGGTTCAATAGATGTTGGTGCAGCTGTTGGTGCACATCTGGGCAGCATGGTTGGTGCTGGAGTTGTGGGGCTGCTGGTTGTGGGAATTCCATTGGGGGCCAAGGTAGTTGGGCTTGGGGCCGAAGGAGCCAAGGTCGATACTGGTCCTGAGGTTTCACAGTCATAGTGAGCAGTGACTCGAAGTTCATCCACCACCGCACTCTCAGAACCAAGGTCCAGACTTGTCTCAACACGGAAACCAATGTCCAGCTTGTTGTCTGGGAACAGGCTGGAAGGGATTGTCAGCTCTACAGCATGCTTCTTATCCATTTGATCTCCAAAGTCAAGATTGACACACTGTGTGACAGTGTCACGGTGCCAAGTGATGCCACCCTCATAGCCATCAAGGGGTTCACTGACGCTCGTGGCATCCATCTCACCAAGATCAATCTCAATGTCGCCAATCTGCAAAAAGATCTTGTCTTGAGGATTCCATTCATCAATCTGGTACAGGTTGAATTCAATGCTGAGCAAGTCAGCATTCATGGCTTCTCCAGTGCTTGGAGGGATGGTAATGGAAACACCCATGTTGTTGCTTCCAGAGCCAAGCAGACCAAGGAACTGAGAGAAGTTTGGTGCATACAATGATGCCAAATCACTCTCTGGGGCATCCACAGTGTAGTCTTGGTTGTCCAGTCCCACCTCTAGCACACATTCATAGCTGGGACTTGCAGTGCTTGGGGCAACTGATGGACTCATGGTTTCACAGTCATATTGTGCACTAACAACGATATTATCAATTCCAGCACTTTCGTTGTCAATATCTTCAGTTGTTTCAACCCTGAATGCTACAGTAATCGTACTGTTGTTGAAGAAGCTGGCAGGGACGGTGAGCAGCACTGCATGTTTCTTGTCCAGCTGTGATTTACCATCGAAGTTGCTTCCCTGTAGGATAGTTTCACGCTGCCAAGAAATTCCATTTTGGAATCCGGACAATGGTCCACTAAAACTGGTTGCAGACATCTGTCCAAGATCAACGTAGATTCCATTGATGATAGCATAGGCTTTGTCATCCGGTGTCCAATCATCAATCTGATACAAAATGAACTGAAGCGTCACAGCATGTGCGTCAACTGATCCTGTCCCAGGTGATGAAGGAATGAGGAAAGACCTTGATACTTCCTCGTGTCCAGTTCCTAACCGGCCCAGGAAGTGCGAAACAGCGGCACCATAATCGATGGAACCGTCAACCCAGCCTTGCTCAGATCCTGTACTTTCAAAATTTTCACTGTATAGCTGCACTACAGGTTCACAGGCTTGCCTTGGGCTAGCAGTTGGAGTTTGTGTGGTTGGCATCAATGTCATGCTAGGAATAGCCGTAGTTGGTGCTGTGCTTGGATGCCCACTAATGACTGTTGGTGTTACAGTGGTTGGTTTTGTTGGGATGGAGGTAGGACTCGTAGTTGGATAAAATGTGGGTTCTGACGTTGGAAGCCCAGTAGTTGGACTTGGAGCGCCCGTGGGTATTCCGGTTGGGCTTTCTGTGGGGATGCTGACTGGAGATCCAGTTGGACTCTTTGTAGGAATTCCAGTTGGCAAACCTGTGGGGCTTACTGTAGGAGTGCCAGTTGGAGTTTCAGTGGGATTGCCAGTTGGAGTTCCTGTGGGCAATCCTGTGGGGAAAGATGTGGGTGCACCAGTTGTTGGAAGTGCAGTGGTTGGAGCCACACTGGGATGTCCACTTGACACAGTAGGAGCAAGAGTTGTTGGACTGCCAGTAGGTGCACCAGTTGGTGAACCAGTTGGAGTTGCTGTGGGTGATCTGGTTGGATTCGCAGTGGGTAATCCCGTTGGACTGGAGGTAGGTGATCCAGTAGGACCGGAGGTAGGTGATCCAGTTGGAACTGAGGTAGGCCAACCAGTAGGAGAGCCAGTTGGGCTACCAGTTGGTGATTCAGTTGGGCTGCCAGTTGGGGTGCCTGTTGGAATTCCTGTGGGCGTTCCGGTGGGGCTGCCTGTTGGCGAGCCTGTGGGGCTGCCGGTAGGTGCGCTGGTGGGTGTACCAGTTGGAGGTCCAGTGGGAGAGGCTGTCGGAGATCCTGTTGGTGCACCAGTGGGGGAAACAGTGGGTGTACCTGTAGGAGCAACTGTTGGTTCGCCAGTAGGAGAACCTGTTGGAGATCCCGTTGGTGTTCCTGTGGTTGGAGCAGCACTGGGGTGACCACTTGCCACAGTGGGAGTCAAGGTTGTTGGATTCAATGTCGTAGGGCTGACGGTTGGACCTTCAGTGGGGCTGGAAGTAGGAGAGGAGGTGGGGGTTCCAGTGGGAGTGCCAGTTGGCTTTTCAGTGGGGGTGCCCGTAGTAATCCAGTGGGAGTGCCAGTAGGAGCTACAGTCGGTCCAACAGTAGGGGATTCAGTGGGGCTTCCCGTGGGTGTTCCAGTTGGAATGCTGGTCGGGGTTGCAGTTGGGCTACCCGTCGGTGTTCCTGTGGGAGCGCCAGTTGGGGAACCCGTTGGACTTCCTGTGGGTAATCCTGTTGGTGATCCTGTTGGACTGGGTATGGGAGCTCCAGTTGGGGTTCCGGTAGGTGTAAAAGTAGGAGATTCAGTTGGGGCACCGGTGGGGGTTCCTGTGGGAGAGCCGTTGGGCTCAAGTAGGGACCAGTGGGGTCAGTTGGTGTCCCTGTGGGACTTCCAGTGGGTGACTCAGTTGGGCTTCCCGTTGGGGTGCCGGTTGGTGTGCCTGTGGGGCTGCCTGTTGGTGAGCCTGTGGGGCTGCCGTAGGTGCGCTGGTGGTGTACCAGTTGGAGGTCCAGTGGGAGAGGCTGTCGGGGATCCTGTTGGTGCACCAGTGGGGGAAACAGTGGGTGTACCTGTAGGAGCAACTGTTGGTTCGCCAGTAGGAGAACCTGTTGGAGATCCCGTTGGTGTTCTTGTGGTTGGAGCAGCACTGGGGTGACCACTAGCCACAGTGGGAGTCCCGGTGGTAGGGCTAACCGTGGTTGGATTCATAGATGGTCCTTCTGTGGGGCTGGAAGTAGGAGAGGAGGTGGGGGTTCCTGTGGGAGTGCCAGTTGGGCCCTCAGTGGGGGTGCCCGTGGGAGGTCCAGTTGGGGAGCCAGTAGGGGGTCCAGTGGGTGTTCCGGTTGGGGATACAGTAGGGGTTGCAGTAGGACTTACTGTTGGCGAGTCAGTTGGAATTCCTGTGGGTAATCCAGTTGGGGTGCCCGTCGGTGTGCCTGTTGGCCTTCCTGTGGGCGATCCAGTGGGGCTGACTGTTGGCGAGCCTGTGGGGCTGCCGGTAGGTGCATTGGTGGGTGTTCCAGTTGGAGGTCCAGTGGGAGAGGCTGTCGGAGATCCTGTTGGTGCACCAGTGGGGGAAACAGTGGGTGTACCTGTAGGAGCAACTGTTGGTTCGCCAGTAGGAGAACCTGTTGGAGATCCCGTTGGCGTTCCTGTGGTTGGAGCAGCACTGGGGTGACCACTTGCCACAGTGGGAGTCAAGGTTGTTGGGTTCAATGTCGTAGGGCTGACGGTTGGACCTTCAGTGGGGCTGGAACTAGGAGAGGAGGTGGGGGTTCCAGTGGGAGTGCCAGTTGGCCCTTCAGTGGGGGTGCCCGTAGGTAATCCAGTTGGGCTTGCTGTGGGTGTTCCCGTTGGGGATCCGGTAGGGGTTCCAGTTGGACTGTCCGTGGGTGATCCTGTTGGTGTACCTGTCGGCGGTCCAGTTGGACTCGCCGTGGGTGATCCAGTTGGACTGCCGGTGGGAGACAAAGTTGGACTTCCTGTGGGTAATCCAGTTGGAAGGCCAGTTGGGGAGACCGTTGGAGTGCCTGTTGGTGATCCAGTCGGATTGGCAGTGGGTGATCCAGTTGGTGATCTGGTTGGACTGGCGGTAGGCGATCCAGTTGGAGACCCGGTTGGGGTGCCAGTGGGAGAGCTGGTTGGGCTCCAAGTAGGGATACCAGTGGGGATTCCAGTTGGTGACTCCGTTGGGCTGCCAGTTGGGGCGCCGGTTGGTGTGCCTGTTGGTGTGCCTGTTGGCGTTCCGGTGGGGCTGCCTGTTGATGAGCCTGTGGGGCTGCCGGTAGGTGCGCTGGTGGGTGTACCAGTTGGAGGTCCAGTGGGAGAGGCTGTGGGGGATCCTGTTGGTGCACTAGTGGGGGAAACAGTGGGTGTACCTGTAGGAGCAACTGTTGGTTCGCCAGTAGGAGAACCTGTTGGAGATCCCGTTGGTGTTCCTGTGGTTGGAGCAGCACTGGGGTGACCACTAGCCACAGTGGGGGTCATGGTGGTTGGGCTAACTGTGGTTGGAATCATAGATGGTCCTTCTGTGGGGCTGGAAGTTGGAGATATTGTAGGGTTTGAAGTGGGTGTGGTGGTTGGAGTCTCTGTTGGTATGCCAGTTGGTGTCCCTGTTGGAACTTCCGTTGGAATATTTGTTGGATTTCCTGTTGGAGATCCAGTCGGTACTCCCGTTGGAGCTCTTGTGGGTGTTCCAGTAGGAGCTTCAGTGGGAGAACCTGTTGGACTTCCAGTGGGTGTTCCAGTTGGACTTGTTGTGGGTGTTCCAGTTGGACCCATTGTGGGTGTTCCAGTTGGTGTATCAGTAGGGCCTGTTGTTGGACTAACAGTGGGTGTTTCAGTTGGTGTCCCTGTGGGGGTTCCTGTGGGGGTTGCTGTGGGGGTTGCTGTAGGGGTTCCTGTGGGGGTTCCTGTGGGCGTTCCAGTAGGTTGTGTGGTTGGGGATCCTGTTGGGCTTGTTGTGGGTGTTCCAGTTGTTGGGGCATTTGTAGTTGGAGCTTCGCTTGGGTGACCACTTGCAACAGTCGGGGATAAAGTGGTAGGTGCTGCAGTGGGGTATGTAGTTGGGAGTGATGTTGTAGGAGTATTCGTTGGTGATGCTGTGGGTGTTCCGGTTGGTACTGCAGTGGGTGTTCCAGTTGGTGATACTGTGGGTGTGACAACAGGTGATCTTGTTGGGTTAACAGTTGGACTTTCTGTTGGGCTTGCAGTTGGAGTACCTGTTGGACTACTGGTTGGTGTTCTGGTAGGAGTTCCAGTTGGTTTTCCTGTTGGGGTCCCAGTTGGTGTTCCAGTTGGATTTTCTGTTGGGGCACTTGTTGGAGTTACTGTTGGAGTGCCAGTTGGATTTGTAGTGGGATTTCCAGTCGTTGGGCTCACCGTGGTTGGGGCTTCACTTGGGTGACCACTTGCTACAGTTGGGCCCAATGTTGTTGGTACTAAAGTGGGGCTCCCAGTGGGCATTCCTGTTGGGGATACAGTGGGGTTGCTGGTGGGTTCTGATGTAGGCCTACTTGTTGTTGGGGCTTCTGAAGTTGGTTCAATAGATGTTGGTGCAGCAGTTGGTGCACATCTGGGGAGCATGGTGGGTGCTGGGGTTGTGGGGCTGCTGGTTGTGGGGATGCCATTGGGAGCCAAGGTAGTTGGGCTTGGGGCTGAAGGAGCCAATGTTGATACTGGTCCTGAGGTTTCACAGTCATAGTGAGCAGTGATGCGAAGTTCATCCACCACAGCACTCTCGGAACCAAGGTCCAGATTTGTCTCAACACGGAAACCAATGTCCAGCTTGTTGTCTGGGAACAGGCTGGAAGGGATTGTCAGCTCCACCACATGCTTCTTATCCATTTGATCTCCAAAGTCAAGATTGACACACTGTGTGACAGTGTCACGGTGCCAAGTGATGCCACCCTCATAGCCATCAAGGGGTTCACTGACACTCGTGGCGTCCATCTCACCAAGATCAATCTCAATGTCACCAATCTGCAAAAAGATTTTGTCTTGAGGATTCCATTCGTCAATCTGGTACAGGTTGAACTCTATGCTGAGCAAGTCAGCATTCATGGCTTCTCCAGTGCTTGGAGGGATGGTAATGGAAACACCCATGTTGTTGCTTCCAGATCCAAGCAGACCAAGGAACTGAGAGAAGTTTGGTGCATACAATGATGCCAGATCACTCTCTGGGGCATCCACAGTGTAGTCTTGATTGCCCAGTCCCACCTCCAGCACACACTCGTAGCTTGGGCTAGATGTTGTGGGAACCAAAGTTGGGGTCAAGGTTGTTGGGGTGATCGGGGTTGGAGCTAACGAAGTTGGGGAAGACGAAGGGCTTGTTGTTGGTGGCAATGATGTGGGAGACGTCGAAGTGGGAGCTTGGGAAGGAAGTCCTGTGGGTTCATTGGTTGGGAGTACTGTTGGGGCAATTGTAGGACTGTCTGTGCTGGAAGTTGGGCTTTCTGTTCTGGAAGTTGGACTACCCGTTGGTGGAACAGTGGGAGCTCCAGTTGGTGTTCCAGTGGGGGTACCTGTTGGTGGAACTGTAGGCGATCCTGTTGGTGATGATGTTGGTTCCTCCGTTGTTGGGCTCAGGGTCAATGTTGGTGCAGTGCTTGGTGCCATGGTATAGTTGCTACAGACCTTAGCATTTGCAGCAATGTAGAAGTCATATGTATTGACTGCGACCTCGTATACATTTTCTTCTTCAATCTGGTTTGTCTTTTGATTTGGAAAGCCCCCCAGATCCAATGTGGTACCACTGCTGCTTGAAGCAGGCAGTCTTGCATTGCCGATATACAGGTGTGTTTCCAGAAGGACAAAACCAGGTGAAGATCTGTACGTAACAAACGCTGTTCGATCAGTGAAAGATACCTGCACAGTTCCCAATGGATCTCCTCTTGGACTTCCATCAGCAGAAACAGCCGCATACAGGTCCATTGTCATGGGAAGTGGCACGGATCCTGTAACAATTGGACTTGAGAAGTCACTGGGGGCTTCAAAACCTTCACCGGGGCAAACACAAGTGCACCTATCCAGTGGTGCTGGTGCATTTTCAGTTCTTTCGCAGAGCGGGCTACCAGAGGAGCAAATTGGGCAACCACATGAGCCACATGCATACAAGTCAAAATTTCCATTGGTCCATCCTAAGGTCTCAAACCCAATGTCCTCAAATGATATTGCCGCATCAGGGTGGTATGCCCAGACATCTGCACATTCTATTGGTTCCATTGTTGGTGTAAGAGTTGTGGGTGCTGCACTTGGGTGACCACTTGCAACTGTGGGGCCCATTGTTGTAGGACTTATTGTGCTAGGGCTGGAAGTTGGGTTTGCTGTAGGGATCTCTGTTGGGGATGTTGTGGGATACTGGGTTGGATTTTCAGTTGGACTTGCTGTGGGTGCTACTGTTGGAGATACTGTGGGATGACCAGTTGGAGACAAAGTTGGCGACGCAGTTGGAGACAAAGTTGGCGCCGCAGTTGGGGCGGCAGTTGGGGCGGCAGTTGGATGCCCAGTAGGGGTTGTGGTTGGATTAACTGTTGGTGATGTAGTAGGAGCTCCTGTTGGTGAATGGGTTGGTGATCCAGTTGGTCCCAGAGTTGGGGAGTATGTAGGGCCAACTGTTGGTACTTGGGTAGGACTCACTGTAGGCGATTCTGTCGGGGATGCTGTAGGTTCAATGGTTGGACCTGCTGTGGGACCAGTGGTTGGCTCTGTTGTCGGACCAGTTGTTGGACCCACAGTTGGTTCCACTGTCGGACCTGTGGTTGGGAAGTCAGTGGGCTGGACTGTAGGCAATCTGACTGTGGAAGGACTGCGGGTTGGCAGTGTACTGGGCTCATAGGTCTCAGTCTCTTGAAAGCTTGGTTCTGCACTGGGTGCAAAGCTTCCACTTGGAGAAAAACTGGGTAATGCTGTTGGCACGCCCGTTGGTTGTAGAGGTAACGTAGGGGCCACTGTGAGCTCACTAGGTTGTGTTGTGGGTAAGTCTGTTGTTGGAATACCTGTTGTCGGTACAGCTGTGGACGGAGACATGCTTGGTGATCTAGTGGGAGAAGATGTGGGTAGCTTTGTTGGTGAAATAGTTGGTGTAGATGTAGGAACTGAGGTGGTAGGAGATGCACTGGGGTGTCCACTACCAACTGACGGACTCAACGTTGTTGGTGTTCCTGTAGGAGATGCAGTTGGACTTTCAGTGGGCTCTCTGGTTGGATTTCCAGTTGGAATTCCTGTAGGAGATCCAGTGGGAGATCCCGTCGGAGTGCCAGTTGGCAATCCTGTGGGTTCTGCAGTTGAAGGAGCAGCACTTGGATGACCACTTGAGACAGATGGACTGAGTGTGCTTGGACCCAAGGTGGGCACAGAAGTTGGTGTTCCCGTGGGGCTTCCAGTAGGTGACTCAGTTGGGCTGCCAGTTGGGCTGCCAGTGGGACTTCCTGTGGGGCTGCCGGTAGGTGCGCTGGTGGGTGTTCCAGTTGGAGGTCCAGTGGGAGAGGCTGTCGGGGATCCTGTTGGTGCACTAGTGGGGGAAACAGTGGGTGTACCTGTAGGAGCAACTGTTGGTTCGCCAGTAGGAGAACCTGTTGGAGATCCCGTTGGCGTTCCTGTGGTTGGAGCAGCACTGGGGTGACCACTTGCCACAGTGGGAGTCAAGGTTGTTGGGTTCAATGTCGTAGGGCTGACGGTTGGACCTTCAGTGGGGCTGGAAGTAGGAGAGGAGGTGGGGGTTCCAGTGGGGGTGCCAGTTGGCCCTTCGGTGGGGGTGCCAGTGGGGGGTCCAGTTGGGCTTGCTGTGGGTGTTCCCGTTGGGGATCCGGTAGGGGTTCCAGTTGGACTGCCTGTGGGTGATCCTGTTGGTGTACCCGTTGGCGGTCCAGTTGGACTGCCTGTGGGTGATCCAGTTGGTGATCCGGTTGGACTGGCCGTAGGCGATCCAGTTGGAGAGCCGGTTGGGGTGCCAGTGGGAGAGCCGGTTGGGCTCAAAGTAGGGATACCAGTGGGGCTTCCAGTAGGTGACTCAGTTGGGCTGCCAGTTGGGTTGCCTGTGGGACTTCCTGTGGGGCTGCCGGTAGGTGCGCTGGTGGGTGTTCCAGTTGGAGGTCCAGTGGGAGAGGCTGTCGGGGATCCTGTTGGTGCACTAGTGGGGGAAACAGTGGGTGTACCTGTAGGAGCAACTGTTGGTTCGCCAGTAGGAGAACCTGTTGGAGATCCCGTTGGCGTTCCTGTGGTTGGAGCAGCACTGGGGTGACACTTGCCACAGTGGGAGTCAAGGTTGTGGGTTCAATGTCGTAGGGCTGACGGTTGGACCTTCAGTGGGGCTGGAAGTAGGAGAGGAGGTGGGGGTTCCAGTGGGGGTGCCAGTGGCCCTTCGGTGGGGGGGCCAGTGGGGGGTCCAGTTGGCTTCGTGGGTGTTCCGTTGGGGATCCGGTAGGGGTTCCAGTTGACTGCCTGTGGGTGATCCTGTTGGTGTACCCGTTGGCGGTCCAGTTGGACTGCCTGTGGGTGATCCGGTTGGACTGGCCGTGGGCGATCCAGTTGGAGAGCCGGTTGGGGTGCCAGTGGGAGAGCCGGTTGGGCTCAAGTAGGGATACCCGTGGGCTTCCAGTAGGTGACTCAGTTGGGCTGCCAGTTGGTGTGCCTGTGGGACTTCCTGTGGGGCTGCCGGTAGGTGCGCTGGTGGTGTTCCGTTGGGGTCCAGTGGGAGAGGCTGTCGGGGATCCTGTTGGTGCACTAGTGGGGGAAACAGTGGTGTACCTGTAGGAGCAACTGTTGGTTCGCCAGTAGGAGAGCCTGTTGGAGATCCGTTGGCGTTCCTGTGGTTGGAGCAGCACTGGGGTGACCACTTGCCACAGTGGGAGTCAGGTTGTTGGGTTCAATGTCGTAGGGCTGACGGTTGGACCTCAGTGGGGCTGGAAGTAGGAGAGGAGGTGGGGGTTCCAGTGGGAGTGCCAGTTGGCGCTTTGGTGGGGTGCAGTGGGGCCAGTGGGGGTCCAGTTGGGCTTGCTGTGGGTGTTCCCGTGGGGTCCTGTGGGATCCAGTGGGGGTGCCAGTGGATCCGGTTGGGTGTCCAGTAGGGGTTCCAGTTGGACTGGCTGTGGGTGATCCAGTTGGAGCACCTGTTGGTGATCCAGTTGGACTTGTAGTGGGTGCTCCAGTTGGAGTGAAAGTTGGCGATCCTGTTGTTGGGGCGGCACTTGGGCTCCCACTTGAGACTGTGGGGTTGACTGTAGTTGGTCTTTGTGTGGGTCCTTCAGTTGGTCCTTGTGTTGGTCCTTCGGTTGGTGCCTGTGTTGGGTCGTCAGTGGGTCCTGTTGTTGGTCCTTCGGTTGTTGGAACTGCTGTGGGTCCCTTCGTTGTTGGTATTCTTGTCGGGACCACAGTTGGTGCTGTAGTCGGCAAGGAAACAGGTGTTCCAGTAGGCGTTCGAGTTGGGTTTGTGCTAGGTTCAAGGGTTCCAGTTGGTACGTTGCTAGGTGTTGAGCTTGGTGCAACACTTTCACTTGGAGAAAAGCTTGGGGTTTCTGTGGATTCGGTTGGAGTGGATGTTGGCTGCTTCTCCACATCACACAGGTACACATGTGCTGCAATGTAGAAGTTGTATGTTGACAACTGCACACTGAAGATGGCTTCATTGGTGGCAGTATTGTTTCCATGCAGTGGAAACAAAGAAGATGGAGTCACTGGTGACTCACGTGATGCTGTTGGTAGGCGATCTTCACCAATGTACAAGTTTGATTGATCAATGAAAAATGAATCATCAGATGTCAATGTAATCGTCATTTTTCGGTCCTTGAGAGCAAGAGTTACAATGCCAACAGCAGCAACACCATTTTCTCCTAATTGAGATCCACCAGCCACGTCATCTTCTGCAGCATACAGATACATTGTAATTGGTGACGTAACGGATGCAGCAATCTTTGGGCTCATGATTTCGCCGGGGTCCTCATAGCCATCTTTTGGACAAACACATGTGCACTTGTCAAACTCGGCGAGAGGAGCTTCAGGTCTCTCACAGAGTGGGCCTCCCGAGGAACAGACTGGGCAATCACACAATCCACAGGCATAGAGATCGAAGACCCCATTTGTGAAGCCCCATGTATTGTATCCAATATCTTGTAAGGCAATTGCTGATGTTGGGTGATATGCCCAAGCATTCCTACATTCCTCACGGACAGATGGAGCAGCAGAAGGGGTGCTGGTCACTGCTGTTGGCAACATCGTTGGACTAGTCGTTGGATACCTCGTTGGCAAATTCGTTGGAGATGATGTTGTTGGTGGAGCACTTGGACTTCCACTTCCAACTGTCGGACTTAAAGTTGGAGTTCCAGTTGGGTTACCAGTGGGAGTTGCGGTTGGCGTTTCTGTTGGTGTGGCAGTTGGTGTACCAGTAGGTGATCCAGTTGGAGAACCAGTCGGGGCAGATGTTGGCCTCTCTGTTGGGGATCCAGTTGGAGTACCTGTTGGAGTTCCAGTCGGTGTGCCAGTAGGTGCTCCTGTGGGGTTTCCCGTTGGGATTCCAGTTGGACTGCCAGTAGGTGTGCCTGTTGGTGATCCCGTTGGACTTGCGGTGGGAGTGCTAGTTGGTGTTTCGGTTGGGGTACCTGTGGGGATTCCAGTTGGAGTACCTGTTGGCATTCCCGTAGGAGTTCCTGTTGGTGTTCCCGTAGGAGTCACAGTTGGGGTTCCAGTTGGGGTACCTGTTGGACTGCTGGTGGGTTGGCCTGTTGGACTGCCAGTAGGCACACCAGTAGGAGTACCTGTTGTTGGTGCAGAGGAAGGAGTACCAGTTGGGGGACCAGTGGGGGCAACAGTGGCCAACGATGGGCTGAGAGTAGATGGAGCTTCTGAAGTTGGTTCAATAGATGTTGGTGCAGCTGTTGGTGCACATCTGGGCAACATGGTTGGTGCTGGGGTTGTGGGGCTGCTGGTTGTGGGAATGCCACTGGGAGCCAGGGTAGTTGGGCTTGGACCAGAAGGAGCCAAGGTTGATACTGGTCCTGAGGTTTCACAGTCATAGTGAGCAGTGACACGAAGTTCATCCACCACAGCACTCTCAGAACCAAGGTCCAGACTTGTCTCAACACGGAAACCAATGTCCAGCTTGTTGTCTGGGAACAGGCTGGAAGGGATTGTCAGCTCCACAACATGCTTCTTATCCATTTGATCTCCAAAGTCAAGATTGACACACTGTGTGACAGTGTCACGGTGCCAAGTGATGCCACCCTCATAGCCATCAAGGGGTTCACTGACACTCGTGGCATCCATCTCACCAAGATCAATCTCAATGTCGCCAATCTGCAAAAATATCTTGTCTTGAGGATTCCATTCGTCAATCTGGTACAGGTTGAACTCAATGCTGAGCAAGTCAGCATTCATGGCTTCTCCAGTGCTTGGAGGGATGGTAATGGAAACACCCATGTTGTTGCTTCCAGATCCAAGCAGACCAAGGAACTGAGAGAAGTTTGGTGCATACGATGATGCCATGTCAGTCTTGGGAGCATCAACTGTGTAGTGATCATTCCCCAGTCCAACCTCCAGCACACATTCATAGCTAGGGCTTGATGTGGTAGGAGCCAGGGAGGTTGGAGATGCACTTGGGTGACCGCTGGAAACAGTAGGGGTCGTGGTGGTAGGCTCTTCAGTGCGCTTGGAGGGACTACTTGTTGGTGCAATGGATGTTGGAGCAAGGGATGGACTAATTGCTGATGGCTGGAGAGTAGGGCTTAAGGTTGGTCCGTTTGTTGGAAGCTCTGTGGGCGTCACTGTGGGGAATGCTGTCGGGTTTGCAGTTGGTGATCCAGTTGGGCTTCTGAAGGGTGTTGCAGTGGGTTCACTTGTTGGACTGCTAGTTGGTGCCACTGTTGGCATGGTCGTTGGCAGACCAGTTGGGCCTTGAGTAGGTGGTGTTGTGGGTTCTCCAGTAGTAGGGATCCCTGTTGGCATTGCAGTTGGGCTGGCAGTTGGTGCACCAGTAGGAGTTCCTGTTGGTGATCCAGTTGGGCTACCAGTGGGTGATGCAGTTGGGCTTCCTGTTGGAGTTCCAGTCGGAGTTCTGGTGGGTGGTGCAGTTGGTGTACCAGTTGGTGTGCCTGTGGGTGATCCAGTGGGCGAACCAGTGGGAACAGATGTTGGACTTGCAGTTGGGGATCCAGTTGGGGTTCCAGTAGGGGTTCCTGTTGGAGGTCCGGTTGGGGTTCCAGTTGGCGTCCTGGTTGGAGATCCAGTTGGGCTTGATGTGGGTATTCCCGTTGTTGGGCTGACAGTAGTGGGTGAAGTACTTGGGTGGCCGCTGGCAACAGTGGGACTCAGCGTAGTTGGGCTTGAGGTTGGCTTGGAAGTTGGGGTACCAGTGGGGCTTCGGTGGGGGTGCCTGTGGTGTTCCAGTTGGTGTGCTGTGGGTGGTCCTGTAGGGCTACCAGTTGGGGTGCCAGTCGGGATGCTAGTTGGGGTTCCTGTAGGGGTTCCAGTCGGCGTGCCCGTAGGGGTTCCAGTTGGGGTTCCAGTGGGGATGCCAGTTGGGGTGCCAGTGGGGATGCCAGTTGGGTGCAGTTGGGTGCCAGTTGGGTTCCGTGGGGGTGCCGGTTGGACTTCCTGTGGGTGTCCAGTGGGTTTACCTGTTGGCGAGCCTGTAGGGCTTCCAGTAGGTGTGCTAGTGGGCGTTCCAGTGGGAGAAGCTGTCGGAGATGCCGTTGGTGCACCTGTGGGAGAAGCAGTGGGTACACCTGTTGGACCGATCGTGGGCTTTCCAGTCGGTTGAGCTGTTGGATCGACTGTGGGATTTCGAGTTGGGCTAATGGTAGGAAGAGATGTTGTTGGTGAGGCACTTGGTTCACCACTTGAAACAGTTGGGCTTGGTGTGGTCGGACTTGATGTTGAATTTCAGTTGGCGAACCAGTTGGCACCGTAGTGGGTGTTTCTGTTGGTGTGGATGTAGTTGGTGTTTCTGTTGGTGAGCCTGTAGGTGAAGAAGTTGGAGAGCCGGTTGGGGTGCCAGTGGGAGAGCCGGTTGGGCTCAGAGTTGGTATTCCCATTGGGCTTCCAGTTGGTGACTCCGTTGGTCTGCCAGTTGGTGTGCCTGTTGGACTTCCTGTTGGTGTGCCGGTGGACTTCCTGTGGGCGTTCCTGTGGGGCTGCGGTAGGTGCGCTGGTGGGTGTTCCAGTTGGAGGTCCAGTGGGAGAGGCTGTCGGGGATCCTGTTGGTGCACTAGTGGGGGAAACAGTGGGTTTACCTGTAGGAGCAACTGTTGGTTCGCCAGTTGGAGAGCCTGTTGGAGATCCCGTTGGCGTCCTGTGGTTGGAGCAGCACTGGGGTGACCACTTGCCACAGTGGGAGTCAAGGTTGTTGGGTTCAATGTCGTAGGGCTGACGGTTGGACCTTCAGTGGGGCTGGAAGTTGGAGAGGAGGTGGGGGTTCCAGTGGGAGTGCCGGTTGGCCCTTCGGTGGGGGTGCCAGTGGGGGTCCAGTTGGGCTTGCTGTGGGTGTTCCCGTTGGGATCCGGTAGGGGTTCCAGTTGGATTGCCTGTGGGGGATCCTGTTGGTGTACCTGTAGGAGGTCCAGTTGGGCTGCCGTGGCTGGTGGGTCCGTGGGTGTCCAGTTGGTGAACCAGTGGGAGCCAATGTTGGACTTGCTGTGGGGGCTCCAGTAGGGTTTCCAGTTGGGGTTCCTGTGGGGGTTTCCGTTGGGGTTCCAGTTGGTGTTGCTGTGGGTTGGGGTTCCAGTTGGTGTGCCTGTGGGGCTTCGGTGGGGGTTCCAGTTGGGGATCCCGTTGGGCTTGATGTGGGTGTTCCCGTTGTTGGGCTGACAGTAGTGGGTGAAGCACTGGGGTGGCCACTGGCAACAGTGGGAGCCAAGGTCGTTGGGCTTGAGGTTGGGCTGGAAGTTGGGGTACCAGTGGGGCCTTCAGTGGGGGTGCCTGTAGGTGTTCCAGTTGGTGTGCTGTGGGTGTTCCTGTAGGGTTAACAGTAGGACTTCCCGTGGGGGTTCCTGTTGGGGTTCCTGTGGGGTTTCCTAAAGGGCTACCTGTTGGGCTACTTGTTGGACTGATGGTGGGGGTTCCAGTTGGGCCACTTGTTGGGCTGCCAGTGGGAGTCCCAGTGGTTGGGCTCAAAGTTGTTGGCGCAGCACTTGGATGACCGCTTGCAACTGTGGGGTTCAATGTTGTTGGGCTCAAAGATGGACCAACAGTTGGAGAACCAGTTGGTAACGTTGTTGGTCTCCCTGTAGGCGATTCAGTTGGACTGCCTGTGGGTGTACTGGTTGGTGATCCAGTTGGTGTAACAGTAGGCTCTGATGTTGGACTCACAGTGGGTGTTTCAGTTGGTTTGCCGTGGGGGTTCCTGTGGGGTTGAAGTTGGTGTTCAGTTGTGTTCCGTTGGTGATTCTGTTGGGCTTGATGTGGGTGTTCCCGTTGTTGGGCTGACAGTAGTGGGTGAAGTACTTGGGTGGCCACTGGCAACAGTGGGAGCCAAGGTGGTTGGGCTTGAGGTTGGGCTGGAAGTTGGGGTACCAGTGGGGCCTTCAGTGGGGGTAACTGTGGGTGTTACAGTTGGTGTGCCTGTGGGTGTTCCTGTGGGGGTTCCTGTTGGGCTACCTGTTGGGGTTCCAGTGGGGCTGCTAGTGGGAGTTCCGGTTGGGCTACCTGTTGGGCTGCCAGTGGGAGTCCCAGTGGTTGGGCTCAAAGTTGTTGGCGCAGCACTTGGATGACCGCTTGCAACTGTGGGGTTCAATGTTGTTGGGCTTACAGTGGTAGGGGTAGTAGAAGGTACTTCAGTGGGACTTGATGTTGGTGACGAAGTTGGAAGACCTGTTGGTGATGCGGTTGGCACTGCAGTTGGCACTGCAGTTGGACTGCCAGTAGGCACACCAGTAGGAGTACCTGTTGTTGGTGCAGAGGAAGGAGTACCAGTCGGGGGACCAGTGGGGGCAACAGTGGCCAACGATGGGCTGAGAGTAGATGGAGCTTCTGAAGTTGGTTCAATAGATGTTGGTGCAGCTGTTGGTGCACATCTGGGCAACATGGTTGGTGCTGGGGTTGTGGGGCTGCTGGTTGTGGGAATGCCACTGGGAGCCAGGGTAGTTGGGCTTGGACCAGAAGGAGCCAAGGTTGATACTGGTCCTGAGGTTTCACAGTCATAGTGAGCAGTGACACGAAGTTCATCCACCACAGCACTCTCAGAACCAAGGTCCAGACTTGTCTCAACACGGAAACCAATGTCCAGCTTGTTGTCTGGGAACAGGCTGGAAGGGATTGTCAGCTCCACAACATGCTTCTTATCCATTTGATCTCCAAAGTCAAGATTGACACACTGTGTGACAGTGTCACGGTGCCAAGTGATGCCACCCTCATAGCCGTCAAGGGGTTCACTGACACTCGTGGCGTCCATCTCACCAAGATCAATCTCAATGTCACCAATCTGCAAAAAGATTTTGTCTTGAGGATTCCATTCGTCAATCTGGTACAGGTTGAACTCAATGCTGAGCAAGTCAGCATTCATGGCTTCTCCGGTGCTTGGAGGGATGGTAATGGAAACACCCATGTTGTTGCTTCCAGATCCAAGCAGACCAAGGAACTGAGAGAAATTTGGTGCATACGATGATGCCATGTCAGTCTTGGGAGCATCAACTGTGTAGTGATCATTCCCAAGTCCAACCTCCAGCACACATTCATAGCTAGGGCTCGATGTGGTAGGAGCCAGTGAGGTTGGCACGGAACTTGGATGCCCTGTGGTAGGTGGGGTGGGAGCCTCCGTCGGCTCTGTTGTGGGGGATTCAGTTGGTGACTCCGTGGTGGGTGCTCCGCTTGGGTGTCCACTTGCGACGGTAGGTAGCAATGTAGGAACTTGGGTTGTGGGTAATTCCGTGGGGCCCTCTGTTGGCATTTCAGTGGGTGTGGTTGTCGGGAATGCCGTCGGGCTTTTTGTTTCAACAGGAGATGATGAAGGGCTTGAGCTTGGAGCCTCGCTGCTGCTTGGTTCCATGCTTGGGCTTGGGGTAGGATGCAGGTCACAGATCCTTGCATGAGCCACCACGTAGAAGTCATAGGAGGATATGCCATTGACATGCTTCACTTGCTGAGCCTCATAATCTGAATGCTTTTGGAAGAGATCTAAATCAAGCGACAAATCAACTCCACTTTGATTGGTTGGTAGCCTTTCTTCACCCATGTAGAAATCTGTGTCAGTGATTACATACCACACTGGGTCTGCAACGTTGTAAGTAATATCAGCCACATTATCTGTGAAAGAGATAGTAATATTCCCAAATGATTTGCCTGACGGTTCACCATTTGGAGAGCTTTCAGCATACAAACCCATGACAATTGGAGCTCCAACCGATGCCTTCACCATTGGGCTGCTGAAACTGGTCGGTTCCACAAATCCTTCTCCTGGACAGACGCAAGTGCACTGATCAAGGGGCTGAACAGGGTTGTCCACTTCATCACAAAGAGGGCTACCAGATGAACACGGAGAACAGCCACATGAACCACATCCATACAAGTCAAAGTGGCCATTAGTCCATCCATCTGCGCTGACACCAATGTCAGTAAAGGATAGAGCTGCCTTGGGGTGGTATGCCCATACATGGTAACATGGGTACCATTCATCCAACTCTCCAGAGGGCTTTGAACTTGGCGATGTTGACGTGGAAGGTGCAGGGCTTGTGGTAGGAACAGAGCTGATAGATGGACGAGGTGACACCGTCGGGGAAAAGCTTGGCAATGCACTTGGTGACATGCTTGTACTTGGAGCCGCCGTTGGTTCAAGCTGGCAGTCGCAATCCACAGTAAAGTTGAACCAACCAAACCAAGTGGAGCTGTTCTCTCCATCGAGTTCATAAGCAAAGGCATTGTGCCTAGTACCTTGAACAAGATGCCCGTCAACATAGACCTCTTCTTCTACAGCAGCGTGGGCGATTGCAACAAAGTGGATGACACTGTCAGCCTGACAAGCGAGGGTCAGATTGATTGCAGGAATGGGTGTCTGCCAGGTATCATCCCCTGCGTAATCACACCAGTAGTAGGGAAACAGATCAACATCTGGAGAACCATCTCCATGCACCGGGAGTTCTTCGAGGGACGAGACGCCAACCCAGAAATGATTCTGAATCAAGGAATAGTACTCCGAGGAGTGGTAGGTCAATTCGAGCACAGGGTTCTTGCTACCAATCACCTTGAGGCAAACTGATCCAGCTTCTTCTGTCTGATCAATCACGAGAGGCACACACTCAGTTCCTGAGTTGTCTTCAGATTCAACACACACTGGCGACCTGCCCCCTTTGCCGTCGGGCGGTTTCTCGGTACAGTCACAGTTAACATCAAAATCCAACCATGCAAACCATGCATCTTCGGGAACAGACTCGCCTTCTTCGTGGCCAGGATGCTCAAACGCGAAAGCCACTGCCTTGGACCCTTCAATCTCGGCTCCGTCGTAGTCTTGCTGTACTACTTCGGAGCGCGCCACCATGGCCAAGGTGAAGTCTTCCTGTCCGTAACAGTTGGTCGTCAAATTCAGGGGGATGGTTGTCTCCCAGGATGTGGCACCAGTAAAGTTGCAATAAAAATAGGGAAATTTGTTTTCATCAGGTAGGGCTCCGACAGTACCATCAACTGTCGGGACTTGAGTGAGATTGGATCCCAACCAAAAAGAGGTGTGGTCCAAGACCCAATCGCCAAATGTCGAGAAGGCTACCTTGAGAACGTAGGATGAGGATGTGGGGCCACCTTGTTTGACCATTTCGATACAAAGTTGACCGGCATCAACAGTAGGCCCTGCCAACAAGGGGTAACATTCCTTGCCTGAATGGCTCCTTGTTGGAAGACAGGGTTTTGAGATACCGGGCACGTAAATCTTGGGGGGCGCGCGACAGATCGTTGCATGAGCAACGACATGTACTTCGTCTCCGGCGTCGAACTTGCTCACGACGAACGAATCTTGAAGCGTCGCTTCTCCTCCCGACTCGGTCAACTCGGTGTGGTGTGATGGTAAATGTTTTTGCGAAGGAGGCACCTGGTCGGTTCCGACGTAGAGGTGTGTCTCCTTCAAAGAATACTTCAATGCGGGGTCTAGGTTGTAATCCACCGTGACTTCTTGTCCGTCCAAGAGGACAGTGACAATACCAATTTCCTTGGCGTCAGTAGTGGTATCACAACCGGGGGCGTCCGTATAGAGTTTCATCTGATACGGGATAAAGGAAGACGTGAAAGGTCCATTGGTCCAACCACTTTCGTCTTCGGTCCCGGCCAACTTGTAGTCGAGACGGTTGAGGCACTTGGACTTTCCCTGTTCTTCATAGTACGCAAAGGCAGAAAAGCATTCTTCTTCGACTTGTGTTTGTAGGACACGATGACGCTGCCCCTGAGCGTCAATGCGTCGTTGAAAAGCCGTTTCGGACGCAGAGTAAGCGAGGCGTCTCTGGTCCGCGACAGACGAGAACAAGGCAAGGGACGAAGACGATCCATCGAGACGACGGGCCACGTGGGTCTCGGTATTCAAATCTTCCTCCATTTCTTGTTGTTCTCCTTCTTGAGTAGTAGCAGTAGTGCATGGACATGTGAGGATCAATTCCAAAAATCCGTAGATGGAATCTTCCTCGTAATTGTCACTGGCACTGGCCACTTGTCCATACGCATAGGCGGTTTCTTCGGTTCCGGGGATGAGGGCGCCTTGATCGTTCACTTCGGCCGCCATGACCCGCACCACCATTTTCGTTTCCGTTTGCTTTGCCTCGCCAGAGGAAAAGGATGAGGTACAAAAATGATTGGTAGCAGTAGTAATGGTGGTTTCCCAACTGGCAGAACGCAAGTTGGGCTGACTGTGAATGGGAAAGGAGCGGTGATCCAAACGTCCATCTTGGAGGGGAACAGTAGTAGTGGCGGCCTTTGCCATCCAAACCGAAGCCTCCAAGATGGTCCAGAAATCAGATGCCTTGACATGGACATTCACATGTCCGTCTTGTACCGAGACACAAACTTGTCCGGCATCCATTTCTTGAGCCGCCAGGAGAGGTCGACACATCGATGCCATCGATGGAAGACAGTTGTTGTTGCTGGCATGCTGCTCAAGATTCAAATTGTTGTTGTTGTTGTTAGTAGTAGTAGTAGTAGTAGGGTTGTTGTTGTTATCAGTATCGGCGATAACATTGTTGTGGGAGTTGTTGTTGTTGCTATTGTTGATCTTGTCACTGACGCTGGCAGCAGTAGATGCAGGCGCAGGCGCAGCAAAAGCTTGAGAAGACTCAGACGTCTCGGAGCGGGTTTCCAAAAGGGCCACTTTTGGGGGTTGTTGGCTCCATAGACTCTGTCCTTCCTCCGCAGTTTTGCTACCAGTGCTTGCTCTACCGCTTACACCCGCCAAGGTGTTTGCGTCAGAGGATGCGGAAGCGTGCAATGCGTTATTACCGTTGATCATCTGTTGTGTCTCAAACTCGGGAGTGGTGGCAGCCGCCAAGCTGCAGACCACGAGGAGACACAGACAACCAAGGGTAGTTGCGCTGGCACGACTTCGGGCAAGATTCTTCTTTGCGAATGTTGACATCTTCATCATCATCATCTTGATAGATTGATTGATTGATTGATCAAAGAGGCAAGCTCGGGCAAAGTAGAACTGTGTGTGTCACAACCGAGCAGAGTGCAGTATTTACACGGCATGACACCAGACAACAGGATCAGGCAGATCAGGATCAAATCAGTCCAGAAGAAGGAGACACAGAGAAGAGAGCCATGCCAAGGAAGGGAGATAGAAGAGAGGATAAGAGAGAGGAGAAACGGTGAGATCAGGTAGAAGAAGTCGGACGATATCCAACACCAGGTCTGTTGACACCTTCCCACAAGATCCAATTCATCATCTCAAACCAATTCAAAGCCATCCCATCCGCAATGAACGGCACTTACACTGTATCAGACTTCCAATAGGGATAGAGAGGGCAAAGAGGTGTTGATTTCGTCGCTTGACTGCTGGATGCAGGCAAAACACACTCTACAAAACTTTCGTTGCGGCTCTCTGGACTCGACTTCTTGAGAAGAATGAGCTAACAAGCAATCTCCCCAAGCTAGCTAGCTTGCTAGCGGCCGACCCAACCCATCAGTCAGTCAGTCAGTCTCATCCCACACATACCCATACTAACCACCAAGCAAGTAACGTTCTACAGTATCTACAGTGGCAAGAACAGTACCACCTGATCTTTACATCGTCTTCTAACTATCCACAGCACTGCACACATGCCAACACATGCCGACAAACGTTGGCGCTACAAAAGGGGGGAATGAGGTGGTTGCAACCAGTCAATTCACCACTGGGTCCCCTTTTTCTTGAGTGACGATAACCCAGAAACGCACCGGCAAGGCATTTGAAAGTAGAGGGCGCGGTTGCGAAGCTGTCTAAGTATCCTCTCAAGACGGACTGAGATTACATCACCAGATGATTGCGAGCACATACAGACAGTGCGATTCACAGCTTCCCTGTGAAAACCACAACACCGCAAAAGACACAGTGTCTTTTTCGTCCATCGGAGTTTCGGAGTATTTACAGGACGTGTAAATCTCCAACAAGAAAGAAGGGGATCCGAACAGAAAGCGAATTGGTGAAAGATTGACACTCACTTCCAAACGCTCACAATTTGCATGGCACGAAGGCAAAACAAAAAACAAAAAACAAAAAACGCACGGTCTTGGCATGGTTTGCTTTGCTTTGGTATAGAATGAATCGAATCAGATCGGATCACGGCAGCCAATCCTTGTATTGTTGGCATGGTGCTATTAATTAATAGCAAGCTAGAAACTACCGTACAGTTCGGGACACAAGGTGGTTGTACTACTGCCCGGTGTCACTGCGTCTCACTCACTTGTGGCTAGTATTGATTGAGGACTACTCGAGTAGTCACTGCCCGCAGACTTGGTTAAAATGTGCACTAGCTAGCAGCGGAGAAACCAGCACAGAGCAGAGTTGTGGCTCGACTTGCTTCCCAGCAGTGTTTGCTACAAGCAAACAACAATCCACGGCAGCCAGAAACTTGGCAAACAGGCACTCCAAGTGTGCACGCCTGGTTTCGCGCACAAGGGCGATGGCTTAGAGCGACGATACAATGCAGGTATTTACATAGACGCAGCCATGGTAGCCCGGTTGCTTGGATGAACCAAAGCCCGCCAAATCATCGCATGAAGCAAGAGCGATCCAGCCAATCAACGTCTACGCACGGCTGTAGTCCAATGCCCACCACCGAGGATGAGCGACCCGTTCAAAACAGCGGAATGATTGAATCCATATTCTTCATGTTCCTCTCCGTCGTCTTCTTCGTCACATGCCCATTGTGACGTCCTTTGCTGCCCAACAGAGGACTGGAGCTTAGTAGCTCCCTGTTAGAGCTTCTTCAAGTTGACCGAAGGCGACGAAACAGATGCTACTGCTATTGATATGAAAGGGTGGAAGATTTTGTAATTGATTTACTAAATAGCTGGTTATTAGTGAGGCTTCGAACGCCTTCGAACTCACGCTAGCTACATACATACAATGGCCACCTTAGAAGCCGAACTTGCGGATCCTGTCGAACAAGGATCGTCCTTCTGCGGTGGTTGATTCCTGCTGGTCCTTGTTGGCCACGGTGCTCTCCTTGGTCGTTGGGAGGGGTCAGTCCGTAGATGACGCTGGAAAGTCCAAATGGAGTAGAGGCAGTCCTGACGATTGATGCTGCATCGGGTCTTCCGCGTGTCTATCCCACAACAGTACATGCTTATGCGGGCACATCGCGCCTTCCCACCAGGAAGCCCAAGGTTGTGGTCGAGTCCCCTACCCAAGTTCCCGATTGTCACAACTACGAACTCACCGACGAAGAGAGCAGGGCTCTGAACGTTGGCAAACTCCAGCAGAGTGCTGAAGCAAAAAGAAAGACGACGACAAGTCTCGCATGACTTTTGTGGTTTCCGGTTTTGACAATGATCCAATCTTTGTCGTTGTGCAAATGACGGTTTGCGGAGACTTTGCCACGAAAGCAGATACGGAGACGGGAAAATCTGGCCCCAACAGCAGCGTTCGAGTGGATCCGAAGAGCGTGC